CTCGATTAATCAGGAGACTCGAAAGTCAAATCAGTGACCGAAATACCGCCGCGATTGTTCCATCGACCGTGGACCTGGAGAAATTCGAGTCTCAAGGAACTATAGCAATTCCCCAAACTATTCGTTCCAACTACACCGGAAGTCTTCGTGTGATCGCCCGACTTCCGGCACCGCGGATCGAAATCCACCCCCCGCGACCTCGCCCGATTAGTGGCGGGACCCGGAAGTCGAATCGATACCCGAAATGCGTCGCGATTCGCATCCGACCAGCTCCGGGACGGGTTCGCGTACCTCTTGGTAGATTTGCCCTCCAATATTCCATATTTCCCCCTTATCGACGCGTGCCCGTCGTTCGACGACGTCGGGCGTCCTCCGCGTTAAGATACACGGGGTCCGCCTATCGCGTTCTCGGAGAGAAAAGCAGTCCCCGCAAGGTTATACACCCTCTATCGTTATCCGGTCGCACAAAGAAGTCGCTCTGAAAGAGAAAAAAAAGCTCTCTCTACGTCGATAGAATATGCATTCGGTAAGGCGGGGATTTCAATTCGAGGCGATACTCCCGAGTGGGAGAGCCGTGGCATTGACTGCACATTTTTCGCGAAAAGAAACTCAGGCGCCTCCGCGTCGGTCGGGAATCCAGAAGAGAGAGAAAGAGACCGACGCGCGGCGTCGACGCAGCAATTGGCGCGGCGAACCAGAGGGATGCTCGGATCGTGAGAAAGCCCTCGAAAGAAAGAAACGCTTTTCTTAAATCGATGGAAAGAAAAGATTCCCGAGAGACCGGCTAGGGGGGGGGGGGGGAGGAGGAGGGAAGACGTAATCCTTTCCTCCTCCGACGAGACTAGGGGGGCGAGGGGCGGCGAGACGGTTTCCCTAAGCTCGTTTGCGAATTAACGTATCGCGTTCTCCGTCGTTCGGTTTCGGTTTCGGTTTCCTCGATAAATCGAAAGTAAGAAGCCACGAAACGCCGGTCGGAGGCGAAAGGAGATACAGCCGGAGAGACGGAGAGGAAGACGATCCGTCAAGAGAGAAAGTCGCGTGTTCGATTACCGCCCGTAATGTCGGGGACGCGTTCGGGGGTGTCTCACTGCGGGGCTTGGACGCCGGTTACTGCCGATAAAGCCTCGATAAACATTCGTAACGCCGGCCTTCAGGGTTATCTCGCGACAGGCCAACCAACTCTCTCTCTCTCTTTCTCTCCCTCTCTCCCTCTGGTGCCCGGCCACGGTGCAACGAGAAATAATAGACGTGAACCCGAGGGCCGTGACTCCGCGAGAGTGCGTCGACCACTAGCGATTCCTCGCCGGTCTTCGATTCGGTATATCCAGGGGGAGGGAGAGTTCGTTTTAGCGGAAGAAGAGGAAAGAAAAATGCCGGCCCCTAACCTACCGGAGGTCCTGGAATAGACATCCACGACCTGGATCCGCGGATTCTGGGGAACGACGAGAATCTCTCGCCAGGGCGGAGAACGCGGGGCGTCGTTTTCGCGCCTATCTGGCTCCCCCAGTGCCCGGACACCCCGAAAATTATTCGGCGAGCCGGCAATTGGGAAATTCCGTGAAATTGGGGTGAAAATTACCGTGCGGCGCTTTAAATTTCCCTCCCCCTCCCGGGACGGTCGTCTCCTTTCCCCACGTGTCCGCCCGGGCGGCCTCGGGATCTCGGGCGGGAGGTCCCGGGGGGGGTGGGCGAGGGGCAGGGTCACGAACCGACCCTGCGGAGGACCCCGGAGGGTCGATTCGCGGAGCGAAGGTCGAAGGGTTGCGGAAACTCGTCGGAGGGGTGTAGGGGGATGTTTCCCCGGGGGGGAGTGAGCGCGATTTTGGGCACTGGGTCGCCCCGCTCGAGCTTCATCCCCTTGATTTTCGTCATTTGGGAGGAAGTCGCCGAGATAAGAGGAGCACGACCATTCGGGGTGGGTCCACCCCTTCGTGCCAGGAAAATCAACCGAGACGCGTGATCGCAGATGTCCCTCGTCATCCTGGGCGGATCCAGAGTATCGTCCTTCCACGGGATGCAAAGAACAGACGTACGCGGGGGTGGTTCAACCCCCCGCCTCGGGTCACGTGGTTCTAGCGCAGTGGGTCGCGGCCCCCCCAAATCGGGTGAGCAAGTCGCGGATAAAAAAAACAGCCCCGCCTACGGGGGGTGATCCGAGGGTGAGGGTCGCCCGGCAGGTGAGCCGGCCGCGAGAGGGTGCCATCTCCGGACGGAGGGGGGGGCAAGGGGGTCCGATGGGGCGCCTCCCCCCGGGATAAAGAGGGCGACGGGTCGGGGGTGGGTTGTTGTGACGGCGAACCTATATACTCGGGGGTCTTCGACTCGCGTCCATTTATTATCCCCGTCTACTCCGTATCCTGCCATTCGTTGCACCCCGAACATCCCCCGCGACCGAGGATGCCCCGCCCCCGCACCTCCACCCCACCCCTCCGGGAAACTCGCGTCGAGTATCGATTCGACTTAAGTGCCGACTGCAGACTTTTCGAATATTCGAGGCTCCGCCGAAGAATATCGTCCCTTTATCGAGCATTCCCCCGCACGACGGACTCGACATATTCCGCCCGAAATTCGGACGCTTTTCCCGCAAGTGCGTCCTCCCAAACTGCGAGAAGTTCCCCGCAATTGCGTTTGCCGAATTCAATTTTCCGCCCCGCGGACGGAACCCCCGAAAAAGGCGACCTCTCCTACGCAAAAGTTGGCACGCGCATCGGCCCGCGTAACTTCCGTACGAATCGCGTCCTTCCTTAGACCCCCCACCTCCCTGGCTAGGATCCCGGAGTATCGATCCGCCGTGACTTCGGACCCGGAGCCTTCTGACGGTTTCCGCGCCGGATTCCCCGGGAAATTCGGAAAACGCTAAGGAAACGCGCACCTTGGCCGACCGATTCGGCACACCCGGTAGCTTTCCCTCTTGTTCGGCAACTGCCACTGTGCTATTGATTATTGGCAATACGAGATGACGTCTCTCCTCTCTCTTTCTCTCTCGGTGCCGGCCCGCCGGCCCGCTCGCTCCGTCGCTTTAACGGCCGGACCCTCCCCGACCTCGAAAACGCACGGGGGCAAAATTTCGGCAGGTCCGCCGACCCCCGGGGAAGATCCCCCCGCCGAACTCGACGTGTCGGTCGGTGGACTTATATGCCTTGGGATAAATTTAACCGGAGATGAATCAACCGGCCCCATGTCGGACAAAGACGTGATGTTCTCCGCGCCGACGCGGCGTCCCCGGCCGCGCGTTTTATCGCGGCCGCGAGAATTTCAACATTTGGATTCCGATAAACCCCCGTTATTATTAGGCCGCGGCCAGATAGGTTAGAAAAGTGATCCCCGAGAGAGTCTGGAGGTCCCTTCCCTCGGGACTGAGTTCCCAGGGCCGAAATGGAGGTTAGGTCGGAAGCCACCCGGCGGAAACGCGTCGCCTCCGAAACGGTCGATCCTATTTACGGTATCAAATTCTTCGTCTCAATGAAACCTTAAACTCCACTTCGTTGGCTGAAATACCAGGTTAATCGTTTCGACCTCGGTGGAGTGGCGGCGGCACTCCAGATCGGAAGCGACCAATCGCGTACCCGGGCTACGCGGCCAACATGGCGGAAGAGGCCGCCACGCGCGGCGGCGACGATTCCGCGAGACCGTTTCTTTTTCCGTCGCTCCTTTCCTCTTTTTATACGGCGACGCCGACGGCGGCGCTCGCTCGGCCGGGAGGACCGGGCGACCGCCTCGCGTCCCGGGAGTTCACAGGCCGGCGCGCGATTCGCGAGCGCTAAAGTCACGCCGGCCGCCGGTGAGTCACGCCGGTTCAGCGCGGCAGAGCGTAACGTCGCCCGGCGTAATTGATTTGTTTGCGTCCGGCGGAAAAAAAAAAAGAAAATTTATACGCGCGTCCTCCGGGCTCGAGGGGGACCCCGACCGATCGCGAATCGATTTCCGAAATCGATCGACCCCCATCGCGACGGCTTCACCTTCTCTTTCCCCTTCTCGGGCGAACCATCGAGATCACGCGACATCGGCATTATCGCAACCGAAGAAGGTTATCCGACAGACTAGAAGCTTCTGACGACCGAGTGCACAGTGATAAGAGCGGGGTAATTAATTCCATCGTAATCGCTCGATGAAATTAGAAATTGACTTGTCCGATTTACGGGGAATCGAATCGGGCTTTATCGAATGGCGAAGGAGGTGGGCGTGCTTTGTATTGGCAAACAACACGTTTGTTTCCGAGCGAGGCGACGCTCGATAGCCGATTATTATGACCCGAAGCGAGCCTTGAACTTGTCCTACGATAACGCCGGGTACTCGGTGCGGAATTATCCGCGGAATTTCCGCGCCTCGGGGCGCGATCATTCAGGGAGGTATTCGTTAAAGTATCCTCTTTCGAGGTGGCGCCAAATCCAGTCGGTCTACGATAAGTCTCTGGGGTAAAGTCAGTACACTTCCGTGAATATCTATGTACCGGAGGAACAAGGACCGCGAACGGTGCTCCATGATCGTTACGTTGGAAATAAACGCGGAGGTCCCGAGAAACGAAACTAACCCTAGGCGTGCTCCCCGGATAGGGTGCCTCGAGATTCCCACGTGAGCACGTGGGAAGGGAAGCGTACGTACAGGACGTACCGGGCACCCGATAAGCGTCGACAGAGGGTCACTTGTTCGCACGTCCCGCGCTCGAGTCCATCGCTAGCCGCGGAACCGGCAGCCCACCAACCCCCTATTCAATGTCACTGCAATAACAAACCACCTCGGTTATCCGTATTTCTGCATTTCCCTCCGGGATTCTCGGCGCGAACCAGGCATCGGGGCCAAGTTCAGGCTATCTATATACCCGTACACCGGCGGCAGTCCTCCTCCTCCCTCCCCCGCGGGCTCGCTCGCTCGCGCTCTCTCCCGCCACCCTCCGGGCTCGGACGCACGCGCCGGCTGCACGTGGAGTCGGACCGAGTCCAGCGACCCACCTGCGTGCTCCCTGAGGTTCCGTCGGGACCAAGATAAGAGTGGAGACTTACTTTTTTCTCGGTGAGCTTCTCGCAGCGGCGCATCTTGCAGATCTGGTGGCTCTTGTCGTTGCGGCAGGGCGCGCAGTCGCCGCAGTTGTCCTTCCGCTGGCACCCGATGCACTCGCCGCACCTCTTGCGCTTCTTCTTGGCGGGCTTGTCGCCGAGGCCGCCCTCGCCGTCGACGTCGCCGACGTTGGCGAGGTGGTGGGGGCCGCGGTTGGCGGTCGAGGACACGGCGGCGACCTGGCCGGAGCTCTCGACGTTGGCGCCGTCCTCGGACTCCATGGAGCCGGCGCGTATTTTTCTGCGCTCCTTCTTGCGCCCGTCCACGCCGACCACCCTGGAGGTCGGCGAGTCGAGGACCGTGGACATCGGGTTCTGGAAGTTGGCGTGGTGGAGCTGCGGGTACTCGGGCTTAACGACGGCGAGCACCGCGTGGTGCGGGTGGCCGGGCGGGGGCGGCGGGAACGCCTGGACGGGGCTGGAGCCGAGCAGCTGGATGTGCCGCTCGTCGAGGAGCTGCTGCTGCAGGGCGGGCACCTCGCGCGCCTGGACGGGCGCCGGGACCAGAGGGTAGCCGACCGGGCCCCGGTGGGGGTGGGGCGCCGGCAGCGGCGTGCCCAGCGTGTGGAAACTGGGCAGGCCCACCGAGGTGACCGGCGGCGAGTGCGACACCGAGGCCGGCGAGAGCGGCGTCAGCGCCGTCAGCTGGGGCTCGGCTTCGCTCGGCGCGGTGAACTGGCTGGCGAAGCTGGGCAGTCCCTCGGCGGCGGCGGCGGCGGCGGCGGCAGCGGCGGCGGCGACGCCGGCGGGCCCGCCCGCCCCGGCCCCGCCGGCCGCGGCCGCGGCCGCGGCGTGCTTCGACTCCCAGGGCCGGTACTGCGACGCGAGGACGACCTCGCCGCGCGAGTCGATCAGCCGGCCCGTCAGGCCCTCGTAGTAGTCCCAGGAGGAGGGGGCCAGGCCCAGGCCCGGGTCCTGGCCGTGCAGGCCGAGACCGCCCGCGCCCTCCATCGGGCCCCCCTCCGCGAAGCTGCTGAACGGCGGCAGGTGGCGCGCCGCGTCGCCGGCGGCCCCCCCGCTCGTCGGCGAGCCGGCCACCCCGCCCGGGGGGCTCACCCGCTCGGGGGCTACCTCCTTGCCCACCTCCGCGCTCATCTCGGTCGGCGCATCCCCCCCGACCGCCCCCTCTCCTCCGCGCTTTGTACTACTCAGGCTTCTTAGGCTACGAGCCCGAGCGGACCGCCGACTCCGGAGTGGGCCCGACCCCCACTCCTTCCCTCCGCATATCTCGCGCCCGGGGACTCTCGCCGCCTCCCGGGGGAATGGTTGCTCTTTGGTTCCGCTTTGGTCGCGCTCTCCCTCGAGGCGCCTCCTCCTCCGGTTTGGCACTGGCGGACTCTTAAGTCGAGGGAGTCTCCTCCTCGAGATATACTTTGTACCCTAGATATAGATGCTATAGCTCTTGAAATCCCTTTGTCTTCTCTCCGGACCTAAGCTCTTGGGAATATTACGACGTATAAACACACTAATTACTTCTTTCGCGCTTCGTAAGAAAATATAAATCACTTGAGGTTAACGTGGCTTGTTAGAAGGCGGTTGATTTGTACGATCTGAAACAGAAAGAACGTCGGGTGGGGTTAATCCAAGTATCCGGGGGAGGGCGACGCTAAGATTAATCCCGCCACCCTTTCGGTCCCCTTCCGCCCCTCTCGGTGTACCTCGAATCTCGAGAGGCGCCCGGAGAGCCCGAGGAAGGTATCATAGGTCTTGGCCGATGGCCATCGTCAAGGCTACTATTACGTTTCTCGGCCGCACACCTACGCGTCCCGCTTTGATATCCGCAAATGCTGCCTCGTATATAGGTGCTTCATTCACGTGTGCCGCATAGTAGCGAGGGGTACGACCCAGGTACCCGACTCTCGAATTCGTCCGACCAACGTTCGCGGCCAAAAATTCACGTCTTTCATACATTACTTTCAAATGTTAACCAATAACTCGACCTCGCAACGAGGCGAAAATTATTCCACGTGGTCCGTGCGAAAGAAATCCACGATGAACTCGAGAATCGGGTCCCTGGATCGAGCGGCTCGAAAATTGGGCCCGATCGAGGAAACCCTCGATATCTCGAACCAACGATTCGTCTCAATATCGATTCCGCACATCGGGCCTCCTTGTTCGGGTTCGCGCGCGGCGCGGAGCCGTCGCCGGAAATTAGCGACGCCCGGTCGCGGTGAAATATCGACCGGTGTTTAGTGCTTTCTCTCTCCCTCTGCCCTTTCCTTCCCCGCCCTCTCTCTCCCTTTCCTTCCTCACAGACGCCGCACACCAGGACGCCGTGCATCCGCGAGTCCGTGTCCGCTAGTTCCGTGAATACTCGATCTCTGACAGCCGCGAGCTCACACGGACGCTGGGGCCTCGGGGGCTGCGAGATCAGCAGGGGCGAAAGCCCCAGGGCGAGGAGAACCCCCGAGACACCCGTTACACGTGGGATGCAGCCGGAGAGCTTTCCGAAGAGCTCCTACTCTCTCTTTCTACCGGCGTATAATGGCCTTAGAGTCGCGGAGGTTTCAGCTTTCGCTATCGCCGGAGAACCTATACCTCCCTTGCCATTTTTAGACGCCATAGCTACATTCCCGGCCCCTGGCATTCGGTACTCCCCGGATAAAGAATCCACATGCAACCTATTCGCCAATGAAACCATAACACCTCGGGGTCATCGGTCGAAATTTCGCTAGTAATTTTCCTTCTTTCTCTCCACATCTCAGAAAAGATTTGCGGAGCCGAAGAAGCATTCTGTCAATTACGCGTCTCAAATAAGCTCAAGTAGTCGCAATTCCGATGGAGCGATCCATTCAATTTATTCCAGACCGAGTCAAGTTCTTTTAACCAACGAGATATTTCTTTGGTTCGATGAAATTTCCTATTTTTTTTTTTTCCTTATTTTTTCAAGGTACAAGAATCGAATCTTCGTCGACGTCCTTTCCGGCACTCGTGCGTGCGGGATTGACGGCCGTAAAAAGTGCAGCCGAGGGAATAATTGTCGAGAAAAAAGTGTCGAAATAGAGGCAACGTGGACGAAGGGCGGTGGAAACGCGGGCACAGAGACCACGCGGCGCGCGGGGGGAGGGGGCTCGCCGAAGCTCGGTCAACTCCCCCCGGGAGGGCGTAATGGCTCCACGGTCGCGGACGTTCGAGCTTTCGCTATCGCTGGGAACTTGCACTGTCGTTCGGCACTTTCCCTGGCGTCCCGAGGTCGAGGGAGGGCGCCGCGAAATTCGCCGGGAAAATGGAGGCCGCGAGGGGAGGCTCGGCGGGTTTTATCGGCCCACAAAGTCGGGAGCTCTTCGCGCTCCCTGGCGACGACCGGGCGAAGTTCGAAAGCTCCCCCCTGCGATCGCGATCGGAGCCCCCGGCGCCCATAAATCGCCGCCCTTAGAAGCGCCCTTTAAAGGTCGGGCCAATCTTCGATCCCGATTTCGCCATTAGGACGGACAAAAAACCCGGAGAAACGGACGGATGCAACCGGCGGCTTTGTAAGATCGGAAAAGTGGCAATCCAATCCGATTTACGGCGATCGACATTGTCTCTTAAAATCAAGGAGGTGATTCCCTCGGGAGATCGTGGATTTCAATGCTCGAGATCACGGGGAAATCCGTCACAAGTCGCAAGCAGAAGTCCCTGGAAATCGTAGGGAATCCCCATTGCCGCTGGTCATCGAAACGCATTTCTTATTCATAATATGAAATGTCAAAGGCAATCGGTTCGGATAGAAGGAAATCGTTTTCACCGATTTCCGCTCGCCATAACCAGTAGACTCCCCTAGAAGCTTAACTCGATTCGGGATTTTCGCGTGGTTTTTTTTATTTTTTTTTTTCCAGAAAAATCGGGAACCGAGTTCACGATGAAAAATCGATCGAGGTCGACAGGTCCTCGAGGAAATGGAGGGCAGCTCTTCCCCTTCCTCCGTGTCGAGTTTTCCCCATAAATCGTGGATTACTCCCCCGGTCGAGGGAGGGTCGGCGGAAGTGCGAGATCGGCGGAGCGCCGACTCCTCGGGTCCGGCGCCCCGCGCGGCTCGGCGACGTCTGCGGCGGGAAATGGGGGACCGCGCGCGTCTTTTCCGCGCCCGGAAACGTCGAGACACGGCCGGCCTCGAAAATCGTTACCCGGAGGCCGCCCACCGGGTCGGCCTCCCGGAAAAGCGGGAAGCCGGAGAGAGAGAAAGAGAGAGAGAGAGGGAGCCCCGCCGACCCTGCGCGCGGCCCTGCCCTCCGCGCGCTAAGAGCCGTAACCGCGGCGAGTGGCGGCCGTGCACTTTCGCTGAATCGACCGTAGCAAACGCACAAAAATTCAATACCGCCGCGGAGCGCGTTGCTCGCTCCCGGCCGTACTCTATACGCTCCGTCGCTCTATACCCGGTGCCGCCGAAGAATTCCTTAAAAAAGGACGCCCGGAAATCGCGGCCGCCTCGAGACCTAAAATACGACCAACGGTTCCATCGAGAGGGGGAGAGGAAATGAAAAAGGAAATAATAGAAGAACCACGGATTTCCGTTTTCCCGGAGAAAAGGAGAAGAAGTTAGGTCGAAAGAGAGCGGTCGAATTTCTGGAAATTCCCCGGGAGTCACATCTTCCTAAAATTCGGACCTAGCCGAGAGAGAAAAATGGCGCCCACTGCGGGCTCGCCTCCGCGAGCGCTCTCCCTATCCCCCCCTATCTCCCTCTCTCTCTCTCTCCGTTGCGCGCAAGTCGTTCAAAAAGAGGTAAAAAAGGGGGAGGGAGCAGCTCCGCGGCGGCACCGAGCAAAAAAGCTTCGGGTACACTTTCGCCGACCTCGTGGTGCCGCGGTGGAGTCTCGCGACAAAGGCTGCTTGATTCAAGGTCCCACGCACACCGCTGCGCGCGCACGCACGCGCGCTTCTCCGCCCGAGCCGAAGGAGAGCGAGCGAGAGGGAGCGAGAGGGACCGAGGCAGGCAAAGCGAGAGAGAGAGAGAGAGAGAGAGAGAAAGAGACGCCCGCGCGTACTTGCGCCGCAAGTGTGCGCGAAGAAAGAGAGAAAGAGCTCCGGAGAGAGGAAAGGGAGGGGGAGAGGCCCGTGTGTCGGCGACAGCGCGAACGGCGCACGCGCGCATGCGCGCCGATCACGCGGGACCTCTCTTGTAAATAGACGGGCCACTGCGCGCCCACACGCCGTCGGGGTATATATCGGAAATGATATAAAATTGCGTCGACGGCGACGCTGATATTTAAATTGGTTCGCTAAAGCACGGATTAATGGCGGCGCGCGGCGAGGAGCGCGCCCTCGGAGGTTATGTCACTTTCGGGGCCCCCGCGGGGGGAGGGGGGGGGGGGCGGGCGACCACCGCCGGACGCGGTGGGAACGAGGGATTCGAAAACCGAGACCGCCGTAAGGTCTCCGTATGTCCGAGAAATTGCGCGATTTCGCCCCCTTTCCGTTTCCCAACGACGCGTCAGGTGCAACGTGCGAAAGCGTCCCCACCCCTCGCCCTGTACTTCGCCGTACTACGCGACGACGCGCTCCGTAGGACACCGTGACGCACCGAATCCTGGCTGTTCACCCACGCGTTGCGTTCTTTCCGTAAGAGCCGCCAATAGAAATCGATCCCCGCCGGCCGGAAGTGCCGGCGGAAGCGCAGTATCGATCGCGCGCTGCCTCTCACGAGTTTTCGCACTCTCCCGGGGCTCCTGCGGGTCTACCCTGTTTAATTTGACGATGGGCAAAATTGGGCTGCATGTCTACCGTTTCGGTAATTTGGCGATAGGGAAAATCGGCCGTGGTCTTGTGGCCTTGGCCTTGGGCCGCGTCTCCACTGTTTTCAATTTGGGTAAAATCGATTGCGTGGTCTTGTGGACTTTGATTTCGGGCTGCATGCCCACTGTTATGAATTTTGGCGATGAAAAAAATCGATCGTGGTCTTATAGTCTTCGACTTGGCCTTGTACCTATGACAAAACCTGACAATATCCGTAAGACCGAAATTAAGATCGTAAGACCAGGATGGATTCCGATCCCCTTATCTCCGTGGTCCCCTCCTACGCCCTTTCGCAGACCGTCAAAGAGAAACTGGAGCACGAAGCGAGATCCCCAAGAACTCTCAAATCCCGAGCGAATAAATCGAGAGATCGATCGAGGGT